GGCTCCCCGGGCGCCCCTGCAGGAGGGAGGTTGGGAGGTCGGGCGCGAAGGGGGGGGCTGCCCGTTATTCCCTGACCCAGGGCCCAACCCCGCTGGGGCGCAGGGCCCCGCCTTCGTGTGATTTGCTTTTCTTGCTGCGCCTTAGACGGCCAAGCCTTAACGTTTTGTGGGTTGGGGGCTGTGCGGCTTGATTCCCTCTCGTGCCACTCGACCCACTTCTCTCCTCGTGTCTCCAGGTGTCATCGGGCTCTTGGCCTTGTACCTGGTGTTCGGTTATGGAGCCTCTCTCCTCTGCAACCTGATAGGATTTGGCTACCCAGCCTACGTCTCGTAAGTGGCTCCCCCTGCAACCGTCCTTCCTCCCCTTCGCCCCCCTTCCCCCACCCAGGGCTGCCCTAGTTACTGTATCCCCAGTTTCCCTGAGGGAGCGGTCATAGGCCGCAGGGTGGTAACTGACTGCTTAGGGTTACACGTTTTAGAGCCTTGACTCGATGCTTGATCCTTGCCGGCTAGGCGAAATGTCTCATTTCATCAGATTGTGCTGGCTGCATGTGTACCTTCTTCTAATGGATGCACAAATGGAAAGTGTTACAACAAAGACGGCCTGCCTTTACTGGTGGGGAGCTCCCAACCTGAACAGAGAACTGATTCCTTCTCCCTAATAATCATTTTAATGTGTATTTCACTTTATATTCATGTACATATATATTGAAACCCCGTCAATTAGGACTTTCTTAATTCTGAATTAATGTTAATTCAGACACTGGGGAGAATTTTATCCTGATTTTAAAATGGCTTGCCAGAAGAACCATATGATTTCACTTATATGGGGGATATAAAATAGAAAGCAGCAAACAAACAAGTGAACTCATATAGACATGGAGCACAGTATGGTTGTTACCAGAAGGGAGGGGAAACAGGAAGAGGGTACAGGGGGCCAGATACAGTGAGGGAAGGGGACTAGACTTTGGGTGGTGAGCGCACCATGCAGTATACAGATTATATATTACAGAATTGTACACCTGAAACTGACATAATGTTATGAAAGGATGTTGTCCTAATACATTTAATAATAATAATAAAAAATTTAAAAGATTTGCCACTTATTGCAGGCAACTGGGAAATACTCTAATATAAAAAGAAAAACCATATGAAATGCATCCCTAATATAGCTCCTTGGTTATATAAATAACTTACGTAATTAAACTAAATTACAAATGAATTGTATCAGATTAGGAGCTGAATTTATTATTCTTTGAGGTTGTTTTTACAGTGTGTTTATTTTGAAATATTTTACAGTTTCATTTTGCCATGTATTCAACTAGGAATTATTTCTCACAGAAATGAATTTTGTTTCACTTTACAGCTCTTCCCAAGAAAGCTGGTGGGTTTTACTTTCATTGAATTGGTTTCTGCTAATTTCCTCAACCATAGGGACAAAAATAAAGGAACAAAATTTTTCAGCTAGGAGGCTAAGGCACAGATAACGCATTATTATACCTTGTGTCTACCATTGGAAGGGAGGAAACGTGCTTTAGAAGTTTTGATTTGAACAATTAAATTGAAATTACATAATTAGTAGTTACTATGTTAGACTGGTACACTTAGTTAGATCCAGAAAGTTGATCTACATATAGGACACTGCTTGCTTATGAATTTGGAGATCTTCAGTCTTCAGTTTGAGACAAGCTTTTACCCTCTCCATCATTACCTGCTACAGCACCATCCTGGTTTTATGTGAATACCAAAGGGTTCTGAAGGCAGATCAGAAAAACTAGTTTAGCTTTCAGATCAATGAAAGAGGTACAGGAATAACAGTTTTCCATTAAGTGTAGTCTGCTGGTATAGTGTATATAGCAGGTTTGTAGACTACCCAGTTCGTCCATTAGTACACTCCTTTACTTTTCTTCAGTTTGTGTAGTCTACTTGCAGGAGTTCTTAAAAAGAAAGCCTTTGAAACATTTTTCAGGTGTGCTTTAGATGTTATCACATTTAGAACAAATTGGGTGTGGCAGTTTAGTATTGCCTCACTGCTTGAATTATATTGAATTAGTAAGGTATATGGATTTTAAAAAATACTGAGTAGCATTAAAAAAAACTTTCCTCCCCCACCCACCAACATCAGTGCCATTTGGAACGTAATCTTGTGAGAAATGTAACCTTTCTGTTGGTCTGATGAGATCATTGCTGAGGGCTTTAGAAAGGTAAAAGTCTGTCGGTGGGATAGGTAGATCCGTGGATGTGTGGAAGTGGATGTGACTGAAGATGTGGACAGAACTCGAACATGCTTCTCCTTGACCTGGAGTGGATTAATTCTAGCAGGGGCAATTTTTTAAAGTCAGATTTTAAAGTAGTTTCAAGCCAGCCGATTTCAGCTTATAATTTTTGTGGTAATTCTTTCATTCATTTTTTATATAGCCAATTGAATGTTACTGGTTCTTTTTACTTACAAGAATCTAAATGTTTCTGTCTTTTGCTAAGAATTCTGTGAAATGGTAGAGATAGTCATATTTCTGAGTAGTACAGGTAAGTGGGTTTTATAAATTTTAGAATTATTCTATTCAAGTATATACAATTTTTCTTTTCTACTTGAGTATTCTGAGGGAAAATGACATTTGTAGTACATCTTAAGAATTGGAGCCCGGCCGGGCATGGCTCAGCGGTTGAGCGGCGGTTTACAATCCAGGAGATTGTGGTTCCATTCCCGATCAGGGCACATGCCTGGATTGCCGGCTAGATCCCCAATTGGGGGCGTGTAGGAGGCAGCTGATCAATGACGACTCTCTCATCATTGATGTTTCTATCTCTCTCCCTTCCTCTCTCTGAAATCAATAAAGATATATTTTTTTAAAAAAGAGTCGGAAAAGTATTAAAAATCTAATAAAAGGAATTTAATGATTTAAGCAAATATTCAGGAAATAATGAGTATTTCTGGATTAGTATTTATTCATAGGTTGCTTCCTTTTGGAAGACCCAACTCTTTTACCTTTAAAATAAATACAGGATTCTATGACTATAAGGGAATTAAGTAAAGTTTGGTCTCTGGGTATTAGGACTTTTCCCTAAAACAGTGGTTCTCAGCCCTGACTGCCCATTGGAATGATCTGAGGAGCCTTAAAAAATACTGATGCCTGGTTTCTACCCCCAGAGATTCTGATGTAATTGGTCTGAGGTGTGGCCTGGGTTTGGGGAATTTTTAAAAATCCTCAATCCTTTACAATTTTTAAAGGATTCTAATGTGCAGTCAGTGTTGAGAACCCCCGTTGAAGAGTGACAGCAGTAACCGGTGCTTGTTACCCTTGAAGATGGGGTGAAAGGGGGTCTGGGATGACCTGCCGACCCTGGGAATGGCCCAGAAGTCTACCTGGCCTCTGCTCTGTGAGGGAGGTTCAAGGAGACCTGGAATTGTGTGCACAGAGTAAAGTATACAGCACCCCAGTTAGCCTTTAAAAGACAGCATTTAAAAGACAGCATCATACAAACTCCATACATTTTCCAGGATCAACTGTACAAATAATGGTTTCTTTCCTTTTGCCTGTAAAAAAGAACGTATATGCTTAGGTTTCTGAGTAGTAAGCATCCAGGCAGCCCACATTATGTTCATCTACTCAAGTCTGCTCATTGCTTAACCCATGTGATTGTGTCATTGTCAGAAAGGAAGCCCTTGAACATGGTGGTATTAATAGCACCTAAATCAGTGTTACTTCAAGTGTGGTCTGTGGTCACCTTCACTTTAACTGTTCTCCTTGCCTCTTGTAACTTTCCCTGTGCTCCCTAGCCAGATTTATTTTTAAAAATACAGGTTCATCTGTTTAGCAAAAAACTAATGCCAGTGGTGAGCCAGGTACTGTGGCAGCACTTTAGATAAACCAGGGACTAAGGTGGACACGCTCTCCACCCTCTGTGAATGAACAGCTGCCAGGATAAACCTCACTAAAAAGTAAAGTAGTGACAGAGCGTGGGAAGCTTCCCAAAGAAAATCAACAAGGACCTGTGGCAGAGAAAAACAGGAAGGACTCTAGTATTTATCTGAGACCCCATTTGAGTTAAGACCTGAGGAATGAGAAGGGACCGGCCAAGCACAGAGCCAGGCCGAGGCAGCACCCTGTGCCAGGCCGCGGACGTCAGGCGCTTCGGAAGCTCTGGGAAGAGCAGTGAGGGAGGACCGGAGAGGTGCAGGTGCCGCCGGCCCGGCCAGTGACTAGTACAGGACGTACACGCGGTTGTAGGGAGTTTGCATGTTTTCTGGTAGCCTTGGATGGATTTTAAATAGGGCATGCGATGATATGATGTAAAGGTCATTCTGACTGCTGTGACCTCTAGAAGGAATTGGTGATCTTACCAAACTGTCATCTATCCCTTTGGTCACCTTTCAGCGTTTCCTCCTGCTGTTTTCTCTCTTTGGACCATCATAGAGAGGGGCCCACAGATTGTGCTTAGTGGTCACCATTGGGCCTAGAGGCTGTAGGGTACAGAAATAAAATTTGGAAAAGCTCATTTGGCTTCCTGGCTTTGCTTATGACTCACTACCTTGGGAAATCTGTGGGTGGGCTCAGGTGCACCTGGCTCCAGCTCAGGTCTTGGCATGTTGGAGCACACAGACAGTTGAAGGCTGGCCAGAGCTCGTGGAGGGCAACCAGTGCCTTATCAGGTCCTCCCTTCCTGCTGATTACCCTCACTTTCTGTGCACATAATTTCCCTTTGAGCTCTGAGACCAGAGCCTTTAATCTTCTTCTATGTTTCCAGACTTTTTGGCCACCAGACGTTTTATGTACTGGCAGCATGAAATCTAATTCCAGCCTCCTCATTATCAAGAGCTGTTGACAGAATTACTTTAATCCCCTTACTTTCCTCTATTCCTGATAAGAGAAAGCGGACTATTGGGTAATAGTAGGAGCCTCCTTTATTAAGGTAGACCTGCCTCCCCTTTTGCTGAGATATAATTCACACACAACCTTTTTGAAGGATACAATTCAGTGGCTAGTATAGCCATAGAGTTTTGAAAGCGTTACCACTGTCTAATTCCAAAACATTTTCATCACTCCAAAAGGAAACTATACCCATTAGCAGTCACTTCTCTTTTCTCCTTCACCCCAGTTCCCAGAAACCACCGTTTTATTTACTGTCTCTATGTATTTGCCTGTTCTGTACATTTCACATAAATGGAATCATATAATATGTGGCCTTTTGTTTTTGGTGCAGCCCGCTTTTAATGGCATTACACAAATAAGTGCACTACCTGAGGGGCCTCTCAGGAGTGTGTGCTGGGCTTTCCCTTCATGTGCAAAGTCTGTTGCCTGAGACCTGAGGTAACCCCCTCCCAGGGGTCC